ATTAACTATAATATTTTTTTGTTTTATATCAAGATGTGAAACAACATAATATGTTAATAGTTCTTTTAAAAGATTACTGATTAGGTACCTACCTACATTAATTAACTATAGTTGCTTGATAATTATTCATTTTATTTGATGTATCGATCATTCGAAGTAGTTTTATTTAATATTTTAAATATTGTATCTACCTATATTAAATAAAACTTGTAAAATCGACTTCTAATAATAATTATTATTATTTACATATCGTTAAAATATTATTAGGAAACGTAATATATTACGATTTTTTTATATTTTTAAGTGTACATACAGCCCCCCCCCCAAACATTTCAGCCCTAGTTGCGCCCCTGTCTAAGGCCGTGAAACAAAGTGCATTGAGTCGTTAAATAACTTTCATTAAAATAATATTTCTATTGGACACAGAAATTATTACCTGAGAAATACCGGCTGCAATTTACTACACAGCAATTTATACCTGAAAAATACTGGGTACAATTTACTACACAGAAATGTAAACCTGAAAAATACGGGGCGCAATTTACAATTTGTTTTCCTTTGTTGGGCGCAATTTACGTTTGCCCTCTAGTTTAATACCTACCTAACTTAAATAATCCCGGACCCAACTAGTATAGCAATTTTTAATTCGGGACCCAACTCGGATGCAGCCACACACACGACACGCGTATTAATCTATTATTGTCGTAAAACTAAGATTGGCGATATTAATAATAATAATGTTCAGTTCCCAAAAGGTATAAACGTATAACGCATAGAGAAAACATATTATTTTACAAATACAATAGCTTGGGGCACAAGGGGTTGTGTATGGTTTGCGGGGTATGTGAACGTATCCACAATAATATTATTATAACAATTACGTTACATTTGCCTAGTGTAGTATACCTCCACGGCTCCACGGTACCTACATGTACTGCACAGTACGAGACGTATTTTAACGCTAAACGTTCATCGCCTCTTTTTCCTTTACATTTTGATGTTGATAAAATATCAAATTCTGATTTGGTATTACATTTTTAGATTCAATTTATCAAAGTAACCCATATGTGTAAATCAATATTCACGACCTAAGTGATATGACAACAATTTCGATTTATTAATAACAAATATTGAACTAGTAGTACTTTGTCTACAATTATTTGAAAATAGACGAGTGGAGTTGACAGTTGTAGTAATTACAGAATGGTAATAACCAATAAAATATAATAACTAGTTATTAGGGCAATAAAGACATGGCGCCTTGGCATTAATTTAAACTACCTACTATTGTCATATGGTTGTATGTTCTTAATAAAATACAATTGGCTTAACATCACACGAATACACGATTTTACTTTAAAATTACCTACTTTAAACGTCTGCTTAACTTTGGAAACAATTTTTGAATTTAGTGTTGTTAAAAGAATAATCATAATAATCACTATACTAAAATATTAGTTTTTTGGTTTTTAAGAATAGAATTTTCGCTGGAATACTTGCTTCGGGTCTGTGAATAGTTAGTGCATACTGTATTTGAAATAATCTCTACAGTTAAAATAGTGAGGGTAAATTTTTTTAAAAACGTAAGTTTCTACCACGATTAAAGATATACAGGTTGCATATTGCCCTATAATAAACGGCTTTCAGATTGATTTACTATAGGAGGCCATGTGGTGACTACAGAAGGTTGAACGGAACTGAACATATTCCTAAGACAGCCATAACAACTCCTTTTGAATTATTTGAGTTTGTGGGAATGAGTTTTGGACTTAAAAACGCAGCTCAATCCTCCTAGAGGTACATTAACCAAAACCGTTGAAGAACTTTCTTCGATTTTTAGGTATGATAAATTTTTATAGAAGGTGGATTCCTGGAGCAGCTACAAATCAAGGAATACTTAAGAACTATTTAAAACAATCAACAAAGCATGACCGAAGACCAATTCAATGGACGACAGAAGCTAAGAAGGTCCATTTCCCCAGCCCAGCTCTAATGGAATTAGGAAAATTTATTTTTTCATTCGATTGTGCTCCGCTAGTGCCGTTTGTGCTAAGCCCCTAACTATTCTAAATCAATTTTGTAAAGGGTATTTCCAAAATTAAAAAGCGGGTAAGTGGATTTCGCTCTTCTGTGCAGTAGGTTACAAGTGGATCATTGTATAATTTCTTGTATTAAACTTGAATTCAATGATATAATACCGTTGTATATGAAAAATGATTCTAAACGGAAACGATTTGTCAGTCTGGATATTTTATATTATTTATTATAAGGTGCGAGACGCTGGCACCCGCAAGTTTGAATTTCAACATAAAAACCACATCAGTAATTGTTATACAATTTGTACAAATTTGTAACCACAATTCCAAAATGTGTACACCCCCTAGGCGCCCGTAAAATCCAAAAACGATTTCCGGGTGCTAGCCGGATTTCGATCCACTTTTAATATTTTGAAGGAGAGACAGTTTACTAAACTGATCATTTTTGCTTATAATTTTTGATAACGAGGTATAGGAATTTTGTACGTAATAATGTAGATACTGTGTTTTGGATTTTGAAAAAACCTTTTCATACAAATACTATGGGAGTTACTTGGTTACTAAATCATAAACTAATGGTAATATTGCAAACAGGTTAGAATAAAAAAAAACCAGCAATTTAACGAGGAATATGAATATGTAAAAACACGACAGCCGAGTTGTCTTTATAATAAAATAATTTAGTACCAAAGGTTGTAATATTTATATAATACCATATTAATACACCCGTACATATCTATAATCGGTCAATTGTAATACTGCCGCTTGGAGCTTTGGAGCTAGTTAATTATTGGTAGTCATTTCGTATTTCACCTTATGAGTAGTTGATGTGGAACCTGTATATCTTATACAGGCTGCATCTGTCTACCACTGTTATCTTCCCCCGCATCTTTACTATCAAGGCCATAAACAATGCTTTACAGTGCATACAGTGAGGGTTGTATACTATATATTTGTGTCCGGTACGGAGAAAAAATTCCTTTGTTCTGTGATTAGTGATTACATAATAATATGGCATTTTCGTCCAGGTTCTTTTAGTAGGTTTTGCTCCTTAACTTTATAGCAGGTCGCAGGTACATCAGCTATAGTTATAGTTTAACTTTGAACGAAATTAGATATTTAAAGGTGGGTGCCATTAAAATTTGATATCTACAACACTGTAGTGGTTGTTTTGCCTGTTGCGCCCCTTCAAGGTTAGGGTAGATTAGGTTCTTTTTTTCGTTCGGCTGCTGGTTGGCAGCACTTAATGCAACTGTTGCTGCTGTCACTGCCACGTACGACGTACACAATTGGATTATTGGAACGATAAGGTGCGCATTATATTATTAATTAATTTTTATGACGTAATACTCATTATTATATGTTTTCAAGAACTTCTTCACTCGGTTCACTCAATCGCTCGTCACTCATCAGCGTTTAATGTCTATTGCTGTCTGTCTGCCTATTGGCGGTTGAAAGTGATAAGCTGTAACAGGAACGCAGGTTGTGTATCATATTTCATCATTTTTATGTTATTTTTCCAGTTCCCCATTACCCCATTATAGATCCACCACCCCGCCGGCCAGTAAATTGATAAGCTTTCAATCGCCAATCGATAGTGAGCTGCACTGATGTTATATTATACGTCTTTCAGTGCTGATCACTGATGAATCTTTTTCGGCTGTCGGTGTCAAGTATTCTACTATTCTTCTATCTACTGTTTGTGATTTTCGTGCCCGCAAATACTTGTTGTAGCCGTCCTGAATCACGTCGTCTATGATATCGTAAATATCGTCTGGTAATTATCGTTCTATAAACATAATTTTCCCTGATTAAATTGTTTGTCCCGTGTAAAATATGGTGGTTAAAATTGACTGGTTGATTGTGACTTAACGTGTTTTAATATCAGGGGAAAGGGCAGTACTAGTAGTATCAATGCCACGGCCAATGTGTGTTCCTTGACTGCATTCTGTGTTTTTATGAAGTCTTTATGAACAGTTCCCACTTGGACCACTAATTGTCGACATACTTAATACCATTGCATATTGATTATGTAAGTAAAATATACTAGGAATATTAGTATTTATAATCAATAGTGATACACAGTACTAATACATTTGCACGTCTGACTTCAATTAGTTTTTCTATTGTATTAGTTTTATATAGGTAGGTACCTAATTTCGTACGGGCCCCAATGCAACAGCCCTGTGTGCTGTCCCAATAATTGTTTTATTCTATTGATCAACCATATTTTTTTTTAGTTCTGCCAACGGTCCTTTCTGGTTAATTATTATAACTTTATTGTGCCAACCAGGCAATATATTTTAATGTCCAAAACTTGCATGTGTTTACATAATATACTATATTGTATTCATTGGTGTATTTCCACTAAAGCCAGTTATGAGACATATTTATATTTATTTATTTTTCAAACAGGATATTATTATTTTTTTTTTTTTTTTATTGATCGTAAGCCCAGCAACTATGGCTATTAGCTGTATGGTGTTTTTTTGAACATTGTGTTAGGGTTTGGTACAGTAGGGTTGGGATAGTTGGTACGGTCGGTTAGGAACACTTGAGTGTTTGGCAGAATTTCTATTGGGGCACCCGTAGGTTTCTGCCATGCCCCGGAGTGGGGGATGGCGGCATTTATTCTCCGGACACCGTGACTTGCCCGAAGAAAAATGCCGCCCGGTGACCAAGGATCGAACCCGGATCGGCTGCGCCGCACCCGACGTGTTGGACCGCTCGGCCACCTCGTCCCCTTTATTATTATTTATTATGTTTCCTAACAATAATAAGTTTTTTGATTAATGTTACTATTTTATGACCAACCACACAAAATATAATCCATTTCTTTGATTGATGTATAGGCACTTTTACTTCTTGTTAAACTATTCACATTGTGTGGAAGAATTATATTATTAATTCTATTATTTTACATTTTAGTTGACAAATCCATAATACATTAATATTGTTTGTTAAATGGCATCAAGAAGTTTTGATAATGAAAAGCCAACATTAGAGGCAACTGAGGATGATCCTTCCAAAAAGTATTTATTCCTACATAGTATATTAATTTCAAACTATAATTAGAATAATGTTTAATGTTATATATTTTCAGAAAAAGAAAAAGAAAAAGAAAAATCAGTCTAGAAGAACAAGAACAAATTTGTGATGAACAAATAAAGCATTATAAGCAGATTATGAGGGAGATTGAAATAGCTTATATTCAATCATACAGATTATTAGAGGACTGCATAAATAATAACGTTCCAAATTAATGTTCCAAGATAAATAAAAAAAAACCTGGATTTGAAGTAAATTATGACATTATTTATATCATCATGGTCAATTTATAATAAATGATATTGTTATATTAATCCCATTTTTAATTCTAGTAATCTAATTAATCTTATATTTTTATATTACTCTTTGATTAAATGATGTACCTAATTCAAGTATATTATATAGAATAGATTAAGAAATGATGTTACTTATTGTTACCCAATAGTGCATTTATATTTATTATTCATATATATTATTTGCATAATTTATTTTATTCTAAATTTTACTTTTTTTTTCATGTAATATCATACATTAATGTTTGTTTTTTTTTTAACATTATTATTCATAATAATATATTTTGACCAGCTATTACAATAATAGTTACCAACGTATTTTTTCTTTCAATATTATACTTACTTCTTGTACAAGGGCTCAATGCCACTATAATAATGTAATAATTTTGTAATGAAATGTGTAACCATGATAACTTTTTTTTATAAGTTACAAGAAATTTTAGAACCCACTCATCAAAAGAATATGCATATAAACCAAAACTGGTTATTTCCAGTTGCAATAACATGGAAGCCTGCTACTAGCAATAATAATTTTATTTCTTAGCCTGAAGTTAAATTAGTCATTGCGAGTATATAATTGATAGCATAGTGCATACTTGCTGTAAGTGACATTTTCGTATTTGTTCAGGAGAACGACAATTGTGATTTCATAAGAAAACCATGCAAATAACTCATTTTATCCAAAATTTCTCACCTTCGACATATGTCCACTATGCCATCGTTATAATCTATACTTTCTGATAATTTTAAAATGTAAATATTTAAATTAATGAAATACATTTATTTTGTACAGTCATACTATAAATAGTAACTTCTTTACTTAATTACTTTTAGAAATGTAGTTTTGTTTTAAATTTAATTAAAAACTATAGGTACCTGACCTATATACTTAATAAAACAAATTTTGTACCCATTAAGGAAGGAATACTTTATACTTTAATAATAATAATAATAGTTACCTACATTTATACATAATAAGTAACAAATATTATTTTCTAATATTAAACATTTATCATACGAAAATTACTAGAATAAAATTTGGATGATTTGACACACATAACATTCTTACAATATATAATTGGCATACATGCCAAAACTATGTTATATTTATTAAATAAAAAGAGTTGTACATGAATCTATATATGTTACAAGTTAACGAATCTAGGACAAAATATCCAAATGTATCCGTTTTTACGTAAATTAGTAGATTACACTTTACTTACTAATAAAATTAGCTCAAATATCTCAAATTACTAATAGTAAAATAAATTACATCAATAGTAATAATATCACAAAATATACTGCACACACATTAGTCAAATAGTAGGGACATTCCAAATTTTTTAAATGCTATTGCTACTTTTATTAAAAATTAAAATAAAATGTTCTATTTTTAAAAACGTTTTTCTAAATTTTTAGAAAATAGTGTAGGTAGTCATTATTTTAGCAAATTATTTAATATTTTATTTTATTTTATTATGTGAATACTGTATTCATAAAAACAAATTATTTTATATTTTATTTTATATTATTTGACTAATGTGTGTGCAGTATATTTTGTGATATTATTACTACTAACGTAATTTACATATTATATAATATATTTTTATTTTTATAATGTGTAATTTACTAATCTACGTAAAAACGGATAGATTTGCATATTTTGTCCTTGGATATTTTGGTTTGGATATTTTGTCCGTGGATATTTTGACCGATTATCAAGTTAACATCTTATGTCTTGTGCAAGAGGTTGTTATCAAAAACTTAAAATAATATCTGTTTATGATATTGAGTACAATGTTCCCATAACATCCCCCTTTTAAACATAACATTTTTTTTTTTTTTGCAATAGTGAACAATCTTAAATTATAATAACATTTTTTTTTTTTAAATAGTAAACAATCTTAAAATATATTATTCTACTTCTTCTTCTTTTGTTAACAGCCCAAGGCTGGTTGGCAGCAGTTTTCCACTCCTGACGCTTCTTAGCTATTCTTTTCAATTGGCAATAAGATTTACAATCCATATCTCTAACTCTTTGACTAATGTAGTCCAGTGGTGGTCTCCATGACCACCAATATGTATTCTACATATTCCTCTAAATACTTAGGTTTTTTTATCTTCCTTCCACTCTTACTTTGTTTTCCTTTAACTTTTTCCTTTTCACTTTTGTTAGTCTCTTGATCCTCTATTCCATTTTTTTTTTTTAGTATTTAATTTTCACAATTGTCATATCCAGGAGGATCCCATATGAGATGTTTTCTGTTTCTTTCTACTGTCTGTCCATTACTTAGTTTAATGACAAATGAATTTGGTCTATTACAAACCGAATGTATAAATGGTTTCCTATTGTCCATATTAACGAAAACATGGTAACCTTCACTATTTTGTGATAATTCTTTAGCCTTTTATCAAATTGTTGTTTATTAGTAATGGCCCTTTTAACTATGTTAAAATTAATGTTTCTTGTCTATATCTAAGGTAAAATCCCTCTCACATTCCTATTGGAATTTTTCATTTGGTGTGTAATTTTCATTAAGAATAGGTGTATTTTTTAATTCTAACATTTCTAAATAATATTTTTTTTTCTGTCACTGCTTTTTTAACTGTTTGAATATTTCTCTCTGCCATACAATTAGATTGTGGGTACCTAGGACTTGAAGTTTTGTGCTCAAAATCCTATTCCATAGAAAATTTTTTAAAATTACTATAAGCAAATTGTGGTCCATTATCTGAAAACAAAACTATTGGTATACCATATCTTGAAAATATTAATTTTAATTTATTAATTTTTGTTTCACTGCTCATATTCTCAAGTATTTCTATATCCACATATTTACTAAAGTAGTCAATGACTAACAAATATTGCCAATTTTTATATTGAAAAATGTAAGTTCCTACTATTTCCCACGGATTATCATCAAAATCCCTAACTGTCAGTGGTTCCTTATTACTATTATTTTTTCTAAAACTCCAACATATTGTACACTTATTAGTTTTTTTTTTATCTATTATTTCTTTACTCATTTCTGGCCAAAATAAATCAATTATGTAAAAATATTTGAATCGATCAACCTTTTTTCTAGGTTATTGTGGAAGTCAATTTTATAATAAATGTTTAACTTTCTTAAAAAAGACACTAAAGTAAATCTAAAAATATAAAAACTAAACTAAAGATTTAAGAAAAATTTTTAATAAATATCAAAAATTGATTTCCAACATAGCCTAGAAAATGGTCGATCAACTCAAATGTTTTAACAGAATTGAAATCTGATTATTTTATTTATGCGTAATCTTGTCAGGCTTTTAGGTCTAAAACGTGTAATAAATACGCTGCTTCCATTCCCCTTAAGTTGTCCTTGTACAAGGAAATGGAAGCAATTATTATTTTTTAATACAAGTTAGTAGTTAGTAGTTTTCCATTTCTCATCTTCATGCATTTTAGTTTTTTGTCATTTACAGCTTCCTCTTTTATACTTTGAGGACACTTAATTTCTATAATTGCGTCTTTGCCAATTAGTCCATCGGGACCAAATTAAGTGTATGTATATGTATAATTATTCAGAACTTCCAATAATAAAATACAACCCATTACAGAGTATAAAATGATAATAAAAATTAACTTGTCCATTTACTCTTAATAAAATCGTTAAATGAGAATTGAAAATTGGTAAGATACAATATAGATGTATACTCTATAGCTATAATTATAGATATATGATTAAAAATAAACAGCTTAATTATTTTTCAAGTACTGTAATAAGTACTTTTTAGCACAATCCTCCAATTATTCGTCAATTATAATATTATATTAAAATACTATTATAACTATTGGCATAAAGTATATATTTAATAATGTATATTTTCCAACCAATAGGTTAGTTCACAGTAGTCTAATTGATAAATACATAAATACAAATATTATATAATATTTAATTTTACAATAAATTATACATAAATTGTAAAAGCTTATTTTTTTAGCAATCATTCTGATTTAAATGGAATTTTTCTCTAGCAAGAAAAATTTTTAATGGTTTTTTAACATCAATTGTGCTGCATTTTTTAAACTTTCCTATTTTAATTATTGACTCTGAAACATTCAAATATAAAATTATAAAATTAAAATGGAAAATATATTTGGTTATTTTTTAGTATCATAGGATAAAAAGGTGGGTAAGAGGATGTCGCTCTGCTGTACAGTAGGTTACAAGTGGGTCAATGTAATGGATAGTGTTAAATTTGAATTCAATGATATAATACATTGTATAAGAAAAACAATTGTGAGCGAAAACAGTCAGTCATCCTATGATATTAATAAGTATATTTGATATTATTGTGAAGATAAAGTATTTTATATGTAACCTATTTTATCTATTTACGTGGAACCTTGCTTTAAATGTTCAATCTTAAGCTATAAAAGTCGAACATTTTAATCATTTTATACATTTGTATCTACAAAATAATTGTTAAATTTTAAATTTTAAATTTGATAAATTTTGTCAAAATTCATAAAAAAAAATTGTGCCTATGTATTTTTAATATTTTTCAACTGCTGTTGTATCAATATATCAGGAGCCTTGCATTAGAATTTCATGATTTTTTACCTAAAAAATAAAATTTAATTGATATTTATAGGAAAAAAAAACTAAAAAAAATTGTAAACTGACAATGTCCATAAACAGCTCAAAAAGAGTCAAAATATTTTCAAAATTTTATGGTGTATAGAAAATGAAAATATATTTATTCAGTAAAATTTTTATATATCTAAAGTTACTCGTTTTTGAAAACAGCTATACACAAAACCGCTATACATGAGAAATCAAGTGTTTATCCAATATTGTTAAAATATGAATTTCAAACGCTCATAAAAATTTAATTTAATTTGCTTGTAGACATTTTTTTTTTTTGGTAAAGGTAGTCAA